TATCGAAAAAAAACTAAATCTTTGGGTTAAAAACTTACATTTCAAGTTTCAACAAAATCGGATAAAAATTCTGACCTCTATAGGGTCCACAACCTTGATATACCATATTTTTACGCTATTTGAGAATGAAGGGCAGCCATTTTGTCTGTCAGTTTTGGGCCGATTTTCTCGAAATTCAAACTCAGCTGTCCTTAGGGTGTAACGGTGTAATAATAATACGTTTTTTTTAAATTGGATAAAAATTATGACCTCTATAGGGTCCACAAGCTAAAAACATGATTTTTCGTACAATCAGGGGCCATAATTCAGGAAGTTACATTCCGATATGCGCGAATATCAAAAGGATCCGAGATCTTTGGGGTATAAACTTACATTTCAAGTTTCAACAAAATCAGATAAAAATTGTGACCTCTATAGGGTCCACAACCTTGATATACCATATTTTTACGCTATTTGAGAACGAACGGCGGCCATTTTGTCTGTCAATTTTGGACCGATTTTCACGAAATTCGAACTCAGTCGTCCTTAGGGTGCAACGGTGATATAATAATACGTTTCTTTATATCGGATAAAAATTATGACCTCTATAGGGTCCACAAGCTAAAAAAGTGATTTTTCGTACAATCAGGGGCCATAATTCAGGAAGTTACGGTCCGATATGCGCGAATATCGAAAGGAACTGAGATCTTTGTGTAATAAACTTACATTTTAAGTTTCAACAAAATCGGATAAAAATTGTGTCCTCTATAGGGTCCACAACCTTGATATACCATATTTTTACGCTATTTGAGAACGAACGGCGGCCATTTTGTCCGTCAATTTTGGGCCGATTTTCACGAAATTCAAACTCAGTCATCTTTAGGGTGTAACGGTGATATAATAATACGGTTTTTTAAATCGGATAAAAATTATGACCTCTATAGGGTCCACAAGCTAAAAACACGATTTTTCGTACAATCAGGGGCCATAATTCAGGAAGTTACGGTCCGATATGCGCGAATATCGAAAGGAACTGAGATCTTTTAAACCTACATTTCAAGTTTCAACAAAATTGGATAAAAATTGTGACCTCTATAGGGTCCACAAGCTAAAAACGTGATTTTTCGTACAAACAGGGGCCATAATCCATGAAGTTTCGATCCGATACACGCCAATATCAAAAGCAGCCGAGATCTTTGGGGGATAAACCTATATTTCAAGTTTCGTCAAAATCGGACAAGAATTGTGACCTGTAGAGAGTCCACAAACAAATTGTGGACGGACGGACACGGGCGACGACAATATACGTCCACATGAAAATGTGGGCGTATAAAAAGGTGTAAAATTAAGCTATTTACAACCCATCCACCGTCTTCATTAGTGCTGATATCAAGTATCGATGCATCGGCTGACGCGATTCGATTCTTGATACTTTTTTGTATTATCGATGCATCGGCAAAAAAATACTAATATAATTAGCTTTGTCCGAGGAGTTCACAAGTTCGTCCACTAGAATAAAAAAACACCTTTAAAATACGTTTTTCTGTGTGTTTTATATAATTCAAAATAAAACAATAACGGAACAATTCAATGAATCCCGCACAAATTATTAGGCTTGACCTGTTTACCCTACGCTTCCGTTATGTTTGTCTCCATTTTCCAGTGACTACAAAGACTGCGTTTGCTGGGTACGTCCCCTGGCTATCATGTCCTTTAACCCCATGGTCAATTTCACGGTTCATTTAAATGACCAAACGAACTGTCAGAAAGATAATATTTCGCAGCTGGTTCTTAACGCTAGTTTTAAAATGGTTCAGTCTTATTTTCTGCCACGGGCAATAGAGAATATACTTCATAAACCCCTATAGACAGGCTTTGATACGATCCGTATAAATAATGCAAACGCTGTCTCTTGTATTCACCTCACCCTTTCGCAACAAATCTGAACAATGGCTAACGAGTGTCAATTAAAGTGAATCGGACGATATCAATGTCATAATAAATAACAGAAGAATATTGTGGAAATAAATTTATTCAAATAAATCGACATTTCTATAGTAGGCCTAATGATAATGTTAGGGAAATTCATGTTTCTATAAGAAATACTAATGTTATTTCTGTAATTTTTGATTAACAAAATGGCGGCAAAAAATTCCCGATGCATCGATACGAGAATCGATGTTTACGTCCGATGCATCGATGCGTAAAATTTTACTTGATATCAGCACTAGTCTTCATATATCAAAATATTTCATCGTAACTTTCATGACCTCGTAGCAATAATAACCCATACAAAGAGTATGTATGTCAAAATTAGTTTGTAATATCAGCAGTTGTCGAGAAATAGGCAATTTTGCAAGAGTCACATTTCGTGCTATTTTGCCTGTACAAGAATCAATTATTATTCAATTTTCAATTTTCTTTCACCATTTGATGCCAAATGCCACGATTGACTAGATTAAACCATTTTAACACCTTTACTGTCACCGGAAGTGACGTCATTTGTGCAAAAACTGAATTTTAGCCTTCAAAACCGATATTTTTTTCAAATGAGTCGTATATGATATTTGTTTAAAAGTATGATATTTAATTTCAATCAACAAATAGAATGAACCCATACGACCATATAGATACCACAAAATGGGTTCTAACTTGCAAGGTTTCAGAGAAATAGACGATTTTCTACTAGTCACTTTTCAAGATTTTTGGTCTATAACAGTGTCAAATATTATTTGATTTTTATAAAATTTTCACCATGTGAAGCCATTTCTGATTTCATAAAACTAATTTAACATTTTCATTCTCACCGGAAGTAATGTCATTTTAGCAAAAACTGTATTTTTAGCCTTCAAAACAAATATTTTTTTGAAGTGAGTTATATTTAGTATTCGTTTAACATTATGATATTTCATTCCAATGGAAATATAGATTGGATCAATACGATCATAAATGTCAAAAAATAGCTTCTAGCATCTTCTCTTGCAAAGAAATAACCAATTTCGTCAGGATTTTAAGACTTTTCGCATTTTTATTACAGTTTATGGGTTCTAAATTAATTATTAATTGTCAGATTTGTATAAAACAAAAGCTCATATACTCCTTGGTGCAAATTCTCAACTTGTTTCTACCTATAAAGTTTTCTGTCGGCACCGGAAGTGTCGTAATTTTGCCTAAAATTTAAAATTTTGACGGGTCGGGAGGTCTTTTCCTAAGGAAAAATCTTAATTTCTACAAGTCTTACAATGAAGATGAATGCTCCTACTACAGGCGCAAAATATGTCGGGTTTAGTTTTTTTTGGTTTTTTTTATATCAGTTTTGTATTTGCGCCATTTGGATTTAAGGTTGAAAAAAGGAGTAGAAATCAGCTATTTACAACCCATTCATCGTCTTCATATTTTAAATTATTTCTACGCAACTTTCATAATTTTGTAGCATTAATCCATATTTTGACAATGTATGTCAAAATTAGATTGTAATATGCGCAGTTGCAAAGAAATATGCAATTTTGCATGCGTCACTTTTCATGTTATTTTGCATGTAAAAGAATCAATTATCGTTCGATTTTCAATTTTTGTTACCATGTGATGCCTCATGCCACCTTTGACTAGGTTAATCCAATTTAACATTTTCACTGTCACTGAAAATGACAGAGATATAGGTTTTGGTATATAAAAGTATCAATTAGTATTCGGTTATCATAAAATTTTCACCATGTGAGGCCTTATGCCATTTATATTTTCATAGAATTATGGTAAAAATTTTGTAATTTTGGCAAAAACTGTATTATAGCCTTCAAATTGTTTTGAAGTGAGTTATATTTATCATTCGTTTAACATTATGATATTTGATTCCAATGGACATATAGATTGGATCAATACGATCATATAGATGTCCAAAAACTGCTTCTAGCATCTTCCCTTGTCGAGAAATTTCCCATTAAAAAGTCAGCTAACTTAGCGGTAAGTTAGTAACAAATTTTGTAAGGATCACTTTTTTGACATATGTAACACATGGTAACAAATGTATAAATGAAATTAATATTGCTGGGTTTCTGGCACCGGAAGTGACATAAGTTCAATGGTAACGTGGCACCGGTGAAACCCATCATTACTGCTTCGCAGTTCTAGTTGTCCATTTGATGCCGCTTCAATTTTTCATTAGAGGCGATGATTTAAGCGGTATCAAATGGAAAATAACAGTACTCTAAATTCTAAACAGTCGGTGTTTATCTCCTAAATGATGCGACAAAATCTTTAATTTGTCTACATGTCAAGTCGCAACTTTGTATGGTTTTGAACTTTGACCTTACACTGTACATGGCAATAAGCATGGATGCAGTTTCACCCGTATATGCCGGATATGTCCTAAACAAGCTGGCAAACGCCCGACTGGCAATATGATCAATCCAGATATTGTCAATCATATTCAAAATTCCACAAAAATATTTAATGTACTGAGGGAATAACTATTATTAATCCTGATTGTCTACTACATAGCTGGGGGGTTGGATGGCCGAATGGTTAGCACGCGCGCGCTGTATCATACGGCCTGTCATTGAGTCAACTGGCGGGTTTCGATTCCTCGGTTGTATGTGACAAGGAGTAGGGTCGCCTGTCCAACCTCATGGGTTTTCTGCGGGTCCTCCGGTTTCCTCCCACTGCTAAAGACCCCAATGCGCAAGTGAATTATGGAAATAAAATTGAACCATATGTTAGTCCCAAAATGACCTAGTTTGTGTCGAGTGGACGTTAAACCCCATTTCTCTCTCACTACATAGCCTTGATGACGATCGTGAAAATAAGTTTGCTTGCGACACTATAAATTATCAATCACACTTTCATTGCAGATTATTGATAGTAAAAATCACTATCGATACCAAGGCCTAAAATCTGTAAAGTACTCTGTTAGAGTGTTCATAAGGAATTGAAGACTGAGATAATATATTATACATGTGCAGATTAAACGGCATATAAAAACAATACATGCTTGGATATGTTGCAAAGAAACATTAAAAACTTACCTTTTCAATTAAAGGTATATCAAATGAGGTTAGTCTTACAATATCACCTTCCATATTTATCTCATTAACTATAAAATCAGAATATCTACAATAGAAAACATTTATTAGATTTATAAACATGAATAATACTGTTGTTTATGTAAAGCCGCCTGTTTCACAAAATTTTAACTGAGCTAAAATCCAAATTTGTGGTGGGGGGGATGGCTAAATGTGCACGCTGTATCATTAAGTCAAATGGCGTGGTTTTCATTCCCCGGTTGTACGTGACAAGGAGTAGGGTCGCCTGTCCAACCTCGTGGGTTTTCTCAGGGCCCTCCGGTACCTCTACATGCAAGCGAATTATGGAAATAAAATTGAACCATATGTTAGTCCCGAAATGACCTTGTTTCAGGGGGCGTAAAATTTTTTTTGAATCCACTAGCCCACGGCTAGTAGTCTACTGTCAGACACTAGTCCGGCATTAATTTCCACAAGTCTGTAGTTGGACAAGGTACAAGCTTTGATCTTCAATATTTGGGCGTCTGTTTTGTTACCTGCCAATCTTATCGTTTTTAATAAAGATCGTAGACTTGATTGCCTAACAATTAAGATTGTAAACGGCTACTCAGTTAACCGGTCACGGTTCGGTTGCACTGGTGAAACGGTTAAAAAAATTACAAATCGATATTCGTTTTGATATCATGTCTGACCTTCAAAACCAAGAATGGTAGCCATAACAATGTTTTCTTTCACTAAAGACCACATAAAAACTCCATGTAGCACTTATCATTTGTAATATACTATTCCAAAAAAGGAGGGGATATTTGATTTTGGGGGCATAATACTAAAATATGCAAATGACTACGAAAAAAGTCACTATAGAACCTAACAGAAGAAACATTTCCAGTTACATGTGACGCCCAAACGCACCAATAGCTACCGCATGGAATGCAGGTGATGCTTGGGATCATCATGGGGGTCCAACCCAAGATTTGCACGACTCTGACTTTGAATGTTACAGTCATTGTGGCATTGAATTCCAGGGTGGAAACATCAGTTTAATTGTTTTAGTGACCAGAAAACAAATTTTGATATGCGTCGGCTTACCCAAAATGAAAGGTTACGTGCCCTTGGCATGCTACAGATCGGCACAACACAGGTGGTTGTGGCGCGGACGATGAATGTTTCTCAGTCTGTCATAAGCAGGCTATGGTCCAGATACCGTGATACACAATCTGTACAGGACAGACCACGCTCAGGTCGACCAAGGGCGACAACTCAAGCCCAGGATCCATTTATCCGTACCTTGGCCTTGAGAAATCGTGTCATCACAGCAAATCAGATCAGCGCTCGTCTTCAAACAGACACTGGTGTGAGAGTGAGTGGCCAGACGATTCGGAATCGACTGCATAGGGGTCACCTATGGAGCAATGTGATGTTTTCAGATGAGTCAAGGTTCACTGTTGATTTTTTGGACAGACGTAGGAGGGTGTGGCGTCGTCGAAACGAGCGCTTCCAAGACGTTAACGTCATCAGACATGATCGATTTGGGGGCGGTTCTGTTATGGTGTGGGGAGGCATCACTGTTGCTGGAAGAACGGCTTTACATGTTGTTGCAGGGCGTGTTACAGGCCAGTACTACCGGGACAACATCTTGGCAGTCCATGTTGTGCCGTTCGCACGACGTCATGGCCGCCGTTTCATCTTCCAGGATGACAACGCAAGATGTCACAGGGCCAGGATCGTTACAGGTTACCTCCAACAACAGAACATCACCACATTACCTTGGCCAGCACTGAGTCCCGACCTCTCCCCCATCGAGCATGTCTGGGACATGCTTGGACAGAGGTTACGTCAACGTCAACAACGTCCTGCCAATGTCCAAGAACTTGCTGCTGCGTTGCAACAGGAATGGGACAATCTGGACCAAAATGAACTTAGACGTCTCATTAGGAGTATGCCACGTCGGATCAATGCTTGTTTGGCAAACAGAGGAGGATTTACCCGTTACTGACTTGGTTGTGATGCTGTGGTAACTTTGCTGTTTGACCCCGGGTATCATTTTACCCTTATAATGGTCAGTCTGTGCCTTACTTAGTCTAACGATCATTTGGAATAAATCGATGAATGTGAACTTCATTTCATTTTGTCATTTGTTTCTTCGTCAGTTTCATTAGGTGACTTTAATAACACTTAAAAATCAAATATCCCCTACTTTTTTTGAATAGTATATATCAGGAGAAATTAACGTCTTTCAATTCCCGCTGGAAGTTTTGTATACATGTATGTTATGTTATTATTAGGACTCACTGCAAAGCATGAGGCAGCCTCGACTGATTGACAAATTAATTGTTTTACAGTATTTATTATTCTGGTCACTATATAAACCAGTTCGATCTGTCGGCTTTTCGGGTAGAAATCAGGGAACAAGCTTTATTTTGTAGATTTTTATGTTTAATGACAAAAAACCAATGTTGACATTTTTTCTGAGTAGGTCTTCATAGTATGGGAGGGTATTATCTGAGGGCAGCCATTTTGCGATAATATTGCAACTTATTTTTCTATTTTCACTTTATTTATAATGTTATCAACATATCAACTGTGATTTGGCAATGTTTTAATATTGACAGGGGTCGTGACTATATTTCAGATTTTTTCCCATCACTTCATGAAGTTATTTCCAAGATGGAGACCATTTTTGGCGTGAAAATGAAGATGATGAAAGAAGAATATATTGAAAATTTCAGTCAAATTACTTCATTCTGAACATAGTTACCATCGTTGTAATATTTGACTAGAAATGGTAGTGAAATGTGCTTTCACCATGACCGATCGTTTGATTGACAGGCGTTAACTCCACCTACATATCTCGATTATCAAGTAAAGTTTTCAATGGCATGCGGAAACGCTCTACAGCGGCCTCGCTAAGTACACTCTATCATTTAGCCTCGATCTAACTGACGCATTCTTATCAGGATGCGCCATATTTGAATTAATTAATAAGTGAAATCCTATTTAAATCCGAGCTGTAGCTGAGCCATCCGTGGGTCTACAGAGTTGATTTTGGGCTTGTTGTTTAAATAAAGATCTAATTTATAATTTCTATAACATCTGAAGCCTAAATTAAGACTTGCAATAATCAGATTTTGCTCTTGCATAATGTATGTTTAACAGAGTTTGAGAAGTATGTTGTGTGGACAACCTTTGTCAGTAAACATACTGTATTTAGACATTTAAATTCAAAAACACACAAAGCTGCTATATATTTTGAGAAACTTCTAGGGACGGGAATCGATGAAGCTGTAGACATCGCCGACCATGCTTCTAAATCTAGTTCTACATGTTCTACTAATAATACGACGGCTACAGCTCAAGAAACTCAACCCGTGATCGACAGTAAATTAAAACAATTGTCACACGACGCATATACAAAACTTATAACCACTGCATAAAAAGTAGCTACAGACGGTTTGCCTCTAAAATCATTCAAATCTTTTATTGAAATTCAGAAAAAAACATAGGGTACAACTAATAGACGGTGTTCAGTATTCTAACAAAGCCAGGGAATTTATCAACGAAATAGCCATGTCAATGAGAAAGAAACTTTGTGATGTTATAAATGAAACCAAATTTTTTACTGTTCTTTCGGATGGTTCGCAAGCAAGAAAAACTGGCCACGAAAAAGAACTCATAATGATCAAAACAGTGTGGGATGGGGTAGCAGAGAACTTTGTTGTCGGTTTGCAAAATGTCGGGGACGCCACTTCAGAAAATTTAAAGACTCTCTTGGACGATACCTTTTTAGGTAAAACAAGTCTATGCTTAGATAAAAATCAGTATAAACACAAACTGATTGCCGCAACTGCCGATGGGGCGGCTGTCAATACAGGTTGTTACAATGGTCTTTTGACCATGCTTAAAAATGGTGATCGAGAGTGGCTGGTAAGCATCCACTGTGTATGCCACAGAGTAGAGTTAGCTATTAAAGACATCTTAAAAAAAGAGAAAGAATTCGTTGCCATAGAGGATTTATAAGTTACAATTTATTATCTCTTCAAGAGAAGTGGTAAATTTAAAAACCATTTTGAAAAAACTGCAGAAGCCCTTTGCGCCCAAATTTACCAAAGTTACAAGTACAAGGTTCGTCCACCACCACCTGCGAAGTCTAAATATTTTATTACACAATTGGATTGTTTTACTTTTAGCCATAGAAAATTCAATCCTGAAGAAAAAATATGCTACAATAAATTCGAAGCTCCTTAAAATACGGAAAAAACTCACAAATTTCCATTTTCTTAAAGTGTGTATAATATATCAGCTAATATTGGAAAAAGTGTCTGAGTTATCTCTGTATCTCCAAACATATTCTCTGAATGTTCTTGAGGCTCAGGACAGAATAAATAAACTTGTTAGCGAACTTAATAATTAAGAACTACCGGACAATTTACCTGTAGTTGACTTTCAAACAAAATTAGTAAATAATTGTTTTTATTTGAAAAAAAAATGTCTAAAAATGGGTTTTAATAAAAATCATGTTGAATTAGCATATACAGGGTGAATGACAAATGTTTTGGTAAATAGTGATGAAAATATCAATGCAAAAATGAAGCCAATAATAATTAATCTTGCCATTTGTATTTCTAATAGATTTAAATCATTTCAAGCTGATGTTTTAAACATTTTTCTTGGCTAAATCCAGCCTATTGGTCAGAGGAATCTGTTGAGTCTGAAATGGACAGCATTTTGTACTTGGCTAATCATTTTAAAATCCCTTTGGAGTTTAATGAATTTGCATTTGAGGTTGAGAAACTAAAAAAGGAGTGGACATCACTAAAATGGACTGTGAAGCACTTTTACAAAAATATTAAACCAGCGGCTGCCAGGCAGGATACGCCCACATTTTCGAGAGATGGATAGAGAACAAGCTAAAACGAAAGTGATTTTTCCTACAATCAAAGGCCATAATTCAGGAAAATACAATTCGATATGCACAAATATCGAAAGGAACCGAGATCTCGTACATAACTAACGTACGAAAATTAATTGGCGGCTAGCTTTTTTTTCGCACATATACAGTGAATGGCCATTTTGCTCAGTAATCCCAGCCAGAATTTGGCTATTTTCTAAATTTGCGTTAAAGTTTAAAATATTTGTTTTAGAACTGAAACACATTAACTATTAGTCAATCCCAACGCTACAAACATCAACAGAATTGATTGTGTATATCTGAAATAGACCCGACCGACGCACAAAATAGTGCAATATGGCGGCCTCTTTGAACAACCCTCGCAGACGCTGTCATTGAAGACAACGTCAATTCTATGAGTTGTAGATGTTATTTTTGTGAAAAATCATTGGAAGAAGAGAAAACATGTTGGGACTGTACGAATTATATAGTCTTTATGGGTGCAACGGACACGATGCTGAAGATAAACCTATTGTTTACAATGTTGACCTCATGACCCATTGACGCCAATGTCATGACCTGTGATGTGTAGATTACGTGACATAGATATCATGGCTACTGACTGGGTCTGAGATACTTCTCCGCAGGTAGCGTGTCTCAGATGTTCAGAATGCCGAGATCTTTGGGTTATAAACTTACTTTTCAAGTTTCAACAAAATCGGATAAAAATTGTGACCTCTATAGGGTCCACAACCTTGATATACCATATTTTTACGCTACTTGATAAAGAAGGGCGGCCATTTTGTTTTTCAGTATTGGCCCGATTTTCAGGAAATTCGAACTCAGTCGTCCTTAGGTAGTAACGGTGATATAATAATACGCTTTTTTAAATCGGATAAAAATTATGACCTCTATAGGGTCCACAAGCTAAAAACGCGATTTTTCGTACAACCAGGGGCCATAATTCAGGAAGTTACATTCCGAGATGCACAAATATCGAAAGGAATCGAGATCTATGGGTTTTAAGCATAGATTTCAAGTTTAAACCAAATCGGATAAAAATTGTGACCTCTACAGTGTTCACAAGCTAAAAACATGATTTTTCGTACAATCAGGGGCCATAATCCATGAAGTTACAGTTCGATACATGCCAATATCGAAAGGAACCGAGATCACAGGGTGATAAACCTATATTTCAAGTTTCATTGAAATTGGATAAAAATTGTGACCTGTAGACTGTTCACAAACAATTGTGGACGGACGTTCGGACGGACGGACAGGGGCGACGACAATATACGTCCACATGAAAATGTGGGCGTATAAAAATCAGAAAATCTGTGGAAAAAGTTAATTGTGTACAAATCTGAACAATTTAAAAATATTTGTATGTTGGCTGAATTAGTTATGTCTATAGGAGTGACCAATAGCATTGTTGAAAGTGCACTAAGTCATCTGACTTCTCTTCTAACTGATACAAGACTAAGTTTAAAACATGACACAGTGGAGAATTTGTTAATAATAAAATGTAATCAGTTTGTGTGGGGTCCATCGGATATTCAAGGTATTCTTGATTCTGCAGCAAAATCTTATTTGTCTAGAAAACGTAGATATAAACTAAGTACTACTACTACTACTCAGACTGATGTGGCTAAAATTTGTGCAAAGTTGTTGAAATAAGTGATGACCCACCTATTAACTTAACCAGTGATCAATCAAGTGCTGAAGATTCCTCCTCCTCTGACAATGAGGAGATGAGTGACAGTAACCACATTGACAGTGACAATTAAAATATAGACAATTTTACAAAACAAATCTAAAAGCTTTTATTAGATTTATATTACATGTATATCAGTGTCATGTTCCTTTCAATACTCAAGGCCAGAGTTAATAACTAATAAGTACTATTAAATAAATAAATAAATTGGATTTTTAACTGTTTTTTTTTTACACCATTTGGATAGATGGTAAAAAAAAAGCTCTTGCGAGCAAATTTGCGGGTGCATTTTTATGTGCTCCCAGAAATTTAAGTGCAAGAGCTTTTTGTGACTCCTGCATGTTTTACAGAAATGATGCCCTGTCGCCATCTTTGAAATATCTTCATGAAGTGATGGAAAAATATCTGAAATATAGTCACGACCCCTGCCAATATTAATACATTGCTAAATCAGAGTTGATATGTCGATAACATTATAAATAGGGTGAAAATAGTAAAAATAAGTTGCAATATTATTGCAAAATGGCTGCATTCAGATACATGTAATGGCCTCCCATACTATGAAGACCTACACAGAAAAAATGTCAACATTGTTTTTTTGTCATTAAACATCAAAGCCTACAAAATAAAGCTTACCGGTATTCCACGATTTCTACCTGAAAAGCCGACGGATGGGAATTATGTAACAAACCGAATCGAACTAAACAGTCTCAAAAGGAAACAAATCAGTTTCATGTGCCGATATAATATTAAAATAGACAGGATAGTAAAATTGTTTATATTATCACTCGAGCACGATGCTGTGTGTTATGGAAGACCAAATGGGACAATATTCATGATTTTTGTTTCTACATTCCAGTTTGAACATTTTAGCCATGAACGCAACATTCTAAACTAATGATTCTTGTTTCTACATTCTTATGTCAACATTTCATGCACAAAATCAACATTTTAAACAAAAAATTGACTTTATGTTTCATTTTCGGCGTTTTATCGGTAACTTTTATATATCATTAAATATTAAAATTAAAAAATAATTTCTTAATTTTACACAACAAAGAAATCAATTCATTGGTTTCTGAAAGTATCTAAAAAAAAATCTGGAATTTGAAATCTTATGAAAATATTTTCTACGTTTCAAAAAGTCTTGAAGTTAAAATCTTGAAATGAAAATGTCCAGAAAAATATAATGAATTATCAACATTATTACACCAGAGGGCGTTAGCGTATGTGTACAACTTTGATACAGACAATAGATTAGAAATCAAAAATAGGCTTTTCCACGAGTGGAAGTGGGCCCCTGTTGTGTTTACAGTAATTAGTTGCATGAAATAGAAATTAAGCTCGAGATATAATAACAATACAAATAACTTCTATAATTTAAACAGCTACAAAAATTAGGACAAAGGCCTTTCTTACATGTTCGCTGTTATTTGTTTACTTTTTCATATGTTTACAAATTAGACCTACACGTGTTTCGAATATGGCAAATTGATGATAATGTTGTGTTTTAAATCGAATCTATTCACTGTTATTTGTTTACTTTTTCATATTAACTATAACTATAGGATAGTGTTTGCAAATTAGACCTACGCGTGTTTCGAGTGGAAAAGTCTACTTTTGATTTCTAATCTATAGTCTGTATCAAAGTTGTACAAATATGCTAACGCCCTCTCGTGTAATAATGTTGATAATTCGTTATATTTTTCTGGACATTTTCATTTCAAGATTTTAACTTCAAGACTTTTTGAAACGTAGAAAATATTTTCATAAGATTTTTTTTAGATACTTTCAGATTCCAAAGAATTGATTTCTTTGTCATGTAAAATCAAGAAATTATTTTTTAATTTTAATATTTAATGATATATAAAAGTTACCGATAAAACGCCGAAAATGAAACAAAGTCAATTTTTTGTTTAAAATGTTGATTTTGTGCATGAGATGTTGACATAAGAATGTAGAAACAAGAATCATTAGTTTAGAATGTTGCATTCATGTCTAAAATGTTCAAACTGGAATGTAGAAACAAGAAATATGAATATTGTCCCATTTGGTCTTCCATAGTGTGTCGATAGGGTCAAAGTTGACGACATACGGGTCTCTGGTAACATTAAGCATGGCATGTGTAACGAACAGGTGTAGTAAATTCTTTGGAAATACCAGACATTTTAAATAATCAAAATTATTTTGTATTTGAAAATCCAATGGCATGCTTTCAAATATTTATGTCAAAACTAATCTTATAAAATATTATGGAGGCTTTTTTTTTTTTAAATTCAACCTGATTTCAACTGGTGAATACTTGACTTGTCAAAGCGTGCAAGGCGGAGAAAAATGTCAAGAATCGAAGAGGTATTAAAAATGTCCATACTGCTCTAAGTTTTATACTGAAAATCTATTGTTATGATTGAGTTTTCTGTGGAATTGGAGAAATAAATGTGGGATGTTTTACAGTTTATTTATCTATATCACTAGTTTAATTCACAAACCAGTAAAAGGGCACTAGCCCAGGACTAGTACAGCTAAATAGATCACTAGCCCGTAAGTTATTTTTGGTAGCCCCTGACGTCAGGCTAGTGGATTTTTACAACCCTGTCTAGTTTGTGTCGAGTGGACGTTACATGTAAACCCCATTTCTCTCTCTCTTTAGTTAAGATTTCGATAAACGGGGCCCAGATGTCACAAGTTTATATTATTTATTACATTGTAACTGAAAGGATTTTGGTTCAATGATTGCCTATTCAAACCCAAGTCCATGATATACTTTTATAGGCCCATATTATTGTGAATCCAAATAAAAATTGAGAGTGAGGAATCCCAAACTGTTTGAATAACATAAGCTTTGATGGGATCCAAGCAAGTTATAAAAGATTGCTTTGATATACTCATGACTTTGTTTTTAACCACATTTATTGTGGACTAAATTGTTGTCACCTTTGTCCGTCATCACTGTCTTGTGACCACTCTACAGGTCAGTGTTCTTTTTATTTTTTTTTTTCCAAATCTGATTGGATTACTCATTGTGTGATAAGGAAGGTTCCTAGTGAAAATGACAATTTGTTAGATATAAAGTGATATCTCCTTGTTTTATTTACTTGTAATTTATGACCCAGATCAGAGCTCTTTATCAAAACAAACCATATAAATATAATGGACTTGATTTCATTTATTACTTTTCTAAAATCATAAATAGAAAATAATGCAAAAATTTATCATACCTTTGTTTGATAATGGCATTAAAACCATTATGTTTACTGATATATTCGATTATACCTACATCCTTTTCACACATACAGTTCTTCTCATCTCTAATTGTATTAGTTTCTATACAAATAAAATATATTCAGTTGTAATGACAAATTATTATGTACGCTGTACTGACCAGGAAATGACTTTTCACAACCAGAAAAATCAAAATCTGTATAAATAAAATATAATCAGGTGTAATGGCAAATTATTATGAATGCTGTATCTTTAGTATGACAAGGAAATGATGTTTCAAACCCAGAACAATCAATTATAAATCTGTATTATTATACCAGATAAAATAAACTACATCTAAACATAAAACATACACAAGGGGGTGCGGGGGGGGGGGGGGGGGTACCAGGTCCTCTCTATGCTAGCTAACCAGTGGTAAAGTCATCTCATTCTAAATCTAAATCTATTATGAAGTTTTTGATTAGAAAATTTTCTAACTCAATAGGGTTCATCGTACCAAAAGTAAAAATTCCCATTATATCGAGTTTCAAAGATATTCAAAGAGAACAGTCCTGATCGTAGAATGGACGATTCACTTAACTTCATGAACAATTGATGCAGCTCTGATGTAGGTAGTCAATTTTTCCATATTGTCATCATATTACCCCTAGTTACAGCCTTCATCGAAATAACACTGGTACAGTAAACTGTTCATAATTATTTATTTCGTTTGGTAATGAAATGTTCCAGGTTCCAGGGTTCGTCCGTCCCCCCCAAAAGTTATGACAAATCCACGCCCTTGTCCCACCCAGTAAACTTTTTTCTGTATCTTGTTCGCAGTCACAATTTTGAAGGGAAAGACATCCTGCTCGAACTTAATGACATTAACATAACAGAGCAGCAATAGTCCACAAGCTAAAAACATGATTTTCATACAATTTGGGGACATAATCCATGAAGTTATGGTCCAATATCAAAAGGAACCAAGATCTTTGGTATATAAATCCATATTTCAAGTTTCGTCAAAATCAGATAAAACTTGTGACCTGTAGAGTGTCCACAAACAAAATGTGAACGCATGTCCGGAATATGACAATATATGTCATACGTCCACATGAAAATGTGGGCGTAATAAAATTATTACCAATTTGTGCACCTTTAATATCATTAGTATCTATCTTCATTTTTTTACTTGGTGGTTCCTGATCACTATTAGACATTTCTGAAGATTGTATAGAAGTCTGCTTGTCTTCCACATCCATCTAAAACAAATCAAATGTTAAAGTAGTTCTACATGTTAAGGGTAAGGAATGATGGCCACACACCAAATTTCAGCCAATTTGATCAATAACCTGGTCATCCATCTCAAATATAATGATGGAGGATTGGAAGAACAGTCAGTCAGCTTTACATGTCGTTAGCTTTAGTATATCAAACACTGGATCTACATATAGAACATTTATGTACTGAGGGAAGCTTGATAATGATTAGAACAATGGGCCAACAGATTTACAGAGGGTGTCAGATTTATGGGTCATTAATTAGTTTATCACACACTCTCACTGAACTTAACAGAACATTGGAATACATTGGAATAACGCATAGGCAGACAGACTGGCCAACCCTCTATCTAACTCGAGGACATCAAACGAATAGACTATTGGTCCATGAGTAGAGTAAAGCACCGATAAAAATGGAAATTATTATTAACGGTAATTATTATTAATTAACCACAGTGTTGTAAAGACGATGATATTCGAGTCTAATTAGTAAACGGCAACAGATCATTAAATATTTCTTTATGCTGCTTTATGTACAATGCTGCATCTCATTGAAAGGAACCAAGATCTTTGGGTTATAAACTTACATTTCAAGTTTCAACGAAATCGGATAAAAATTGTGACCTCTATAGGGTCCACAACCTTGATATATCATATTTTTACGCTATTTGAGAACGAACAGTGGCCATTTTGTCTGTCAATTTTGGGCTGATTTTCACGAAATTCAAACTCAGCCGTCCTTAGGGTGTAACGGTGATATAATAATATGTTTTTTTAAATCGGATAAAAATTATGACCTCTATAGGGTCCACAAGCTAAAAACGTGATTTTTCGTACAATCAGGGGCCATAATTCCGGAAGTTACGGTACGATATGCGCGAATATCGAAAGGAACCAAGATTTTTGGGTTATAAACTTACATTTCAAGTTTCAACAAAATCTGATAAAAATTGTGACCTCTATAGGGTCCACAACCTTGATATACCATATTTTTACGCTATTTGAGAACGACCGGCGGCCATTTTGTCTGTCAATTTTGGGCCGATTTTCACGAAATTCAAACTCAGTCGTCCTTAGGGTGTAACGGTGATATAATAATACGTTTTTTTAAATTGGATAAAAATTATGACTTCCATAGGGTCCACAAGCTAAAAACGCGATTTTTCGTACAATAGGGGCCATAATTCAGGAAGTTATGGTCCGATATGCACGAATATGGAAAGGAACCGAGATCTTTGGTTTATAAACTTACATTTCAAGTTTCAACAAATTCGGATAAACATTGTGACATCTATAGGGTCCACAACCTTGATATACCATATTCTTACGCTATTTGAGAACGAATGGCGGCCATTTTGTCTGTCAATTTTGGGTCGATTTTCACGAAATTCAAACTCAGTCGTCCTTAGGGGCAACATAATACGTCCACATGAAAATGTGGGCGTATAAAAATTGTGACCTCTACAGGGTCCACAACCTTGATATACCATATTTTTACGCTATTTGAGAACGAACGGCAGCCATTTTGTCTGTCATTTTGGGTCCACAAGCCAAAAACGTGATTTTTCGTACAATCAGGGGCCATAATCCATGAAGTTACGGTCCGATACATGCTAATATCGAATGGAACCGAAATCTTAGGGTGATAAACCTATATTTAAAGTTTCATTGAAATCGGATAAAAATTGTGACCTGTAGACTGTTCACAAACAATTGTGGACGGACAGGGGCGATGACAATATACATCCACATGAAAATGTGGGCGTATAAAAAGGAGGATATTTGAAAATAAAAAGTTTGATTATATGGACTTGTTGATTGTGCTAAAACAAAGATAGTTTTCAAATTTTAAGTCTTGATGGTTGTAGTGTATATTTGCTTCATATTTTCCAAAATTCCAAATTCCAAAGTCATTATTTATGATTTTCATCCATTTTTTATTGTTCAGTGTCATCCCAAGCACATTGACATTTTAATACCAATATACAGGCACTACAAATGTTGTGAATGATTTTCTGTGGATAACCGGTGTTAGACATTATAACCTAATCGTATCAAAAACGTTAACCCATCCGTCAATTAAATGTTGTTTAAACGCCAATCAACAAATAATACGAGGCTACTTGATTACAAAAACACCGGTGAGCAATAATTATTGGGTATATAGTAATTTTAAACAACTTATTACTAAAACTTAATTATTTTATACAATTAATGTGTGTGTGTATGATTCTACCATTAGTTCGTTCGTGAGGTATTATGCACACGTTCCACTTAGAGTGATGTCTTTGATCTGGCCGGCGTAAAAAAAAGATAATTACCTAATCAACATTCTTAATCCCACGAACACTCACTGCTAACACCAACTTGAAATTAATTTATGACCAATGCCTGTATAACTTTTATAGTCGGATTGATTAATTAATGACAGATATTAACGACACTACATTTTATGTCGAAAAGCGAAGTGCTCGCAGTAAAAACCACATAGCATGGACCCGTATAATTTCCATATTGTAAAAAATTAATTAAGAGTGCTGGACTTCAAAGTTTAAAAGTTGTAGGCACTCTAAATTGGATCTTAAATTAAAATGAATTACAAAACAAATTATTCCGTAGTCAATTGTTCTATTTAATTAGGGGGATTAAGGAATCATTCAGGCGTTAAAGAATACACACGCCGGCTGTATATAGATAATTAGGGAATAAACATTCTGAATATGCATTTGGTCACTGTGACGTCACTGGCGTCTGAGGGGATTAAGAGTGTTTTTGATAATTGGCAAAGCCGTTTTTACGGAAGGTCTATTTTTACGACTTTGAGTGAAGATAACTGATTTAATTTCAACCAGATTGGCGTGAACTTGCCGTAAAGTGGATATAGTAACCACTGGCTACACGTGTCTCAAAGTTTCCGGGACCATCTTATGTGCACTTTAATGTAATTATAATCTGCAAGTTTCATTGAAATAGGTTGATAATTGCAGTCTGTAGCCGTGCCACATGAAATGTGTGGTAACCCCCATATCTCGGAAACCGCCAACCAGAAGTGGCCGAAAGTTTGGCTACTCAGAGATGTTATCAATGTTATAATAATCTGTAAGTTGCATTAACATCGGGTAACAATTGTTGTCTGTAGTCGTGCCACATATCTCCGAAACCGCTAACTGGAAGTGGTCGAAATTTTGCCTACTCTGAGATATTATTAATGTTCTGTACGTTTCATGGGTATCAGTTTATAATATTGTGGTCTGTAGACGTGCCACAAGAAATGTGTGGTAACCTGATATCTCAGGCCTAGAAATTCACGCGAATCTCCGAATCTGATTCGCGCAAGGATTCTCGCAAGAGCTTACGCTGCGAATCTAATATTACAACGCGTTAATTATATTACTTGTTAATAAAGACCGCTAGCTACACAACAACATTCATACCTTAGTGCGAATCAGCCATTGGTTCATAATCCGAATAATTAGGACATTTAACGGTGATTTTGATAATCCGGTAAAAAAAACTAAACACGCTTGCTAATAATTCATACAAGGTTCAGTAAAATACGCCACGTGGTGAATGAAGACGATCTCGGCATGGTTTGCGAATCGCGCATCTTCCACGCTCCGCCGTGTGAATTCCAGGTTTTAAAATAATAACTGGATCATACATTGATGGATTCACTGACCAGTTGTTAGGTAAATTTAAATCTTCATTGAATATAATCCCCTGATAGAACAGCGAATAAACGGAGAGAGAAACAGCATGGATATTTTGCCAACAGAATCTGGAATGCCGAATTCCAATGACACGTGACATATTGGTTGGAATTAGGTCAATAAACCAGTTCTAAATAACGTTTACCGTTATGATTTTTTATTTTATATACATGGTGACAGAGACTTAATTTTAGAAATATTATTGAAGGCTATATCATAGTCGTACCGAAGTTTATTTTATAGCAATTTCAGTTATGGTTGTCACGTGATCATTGTGCGGTTTGTCTATCATCGTCGAATGAATAAAAACTTTTGCAAGTTACGTCAGTGCCGGACTGGGCCCACCTGTCCACCTGTCCGTGACAGGTGGGCCTAAGCTTATTAAAAAAAAGTGGGCCTAAGCCTATAAAGAAAAAAGAAAAAGAGAGAAAGAAAAAAGAAAAGAGAAAGAAAGGAGAGGGGGAGGAAAGAAAAGGAAGAACAGGACAGGACACAGGACAGGAGAAAGAAAAGATAGGAAAAACATGACTGACAAACAACACAAAAAGAAATGTTATACTACAAGACTGCTTTGGTTTGAAATGCTTGGAAAATGGGTTTGCGGTTGTCAATTTTCAAAATTTTCCTGGGGTGAGCCCCCCCCCCCCAAACCCCCCTCGGACGCTTGTGTGGGCCTTGGTCAATGACCTGACAGGTGGGCCTTCGGCCAACCAGTCCGGCACTGAGTTACGTGATGGACAAAAGACTACAAATTGTGCTATGAAGAAATGCCATGGTGCTGTATCAGCTTATTTTGACTACCGCATTTTCTGGATATTACTTTTGACACAATTTAAGAGTTTACCAAAAACTCCATCTGATTGGTTTTTTTTATCATTGTTGTTGTATTTTGGTGTTTTAGATTATCACAATAAACACAATTTTGTTTTTTAGACAGTATTATTAATTAAGATTCGGAGGATTCGTGCAGATTCCATATATGAGAATCCTCTTCGATTCTCGCAAAAAATGGTGAATTTCTAGCCCTGTATCTCTGAAACCTCTAACCGGAAGTGGTCGAAATTTTGGCTACTCTGAGATATTATTGATGTAATTTTAATCTGCAAGTTTCATTGAAATCGGTTGGTAATTGCGGTGTGTAGCCGTGCCACATGAAATGTGTGGTAACCTGATATCTCCGAAACCGCTAACCGGAAGTGGTCGTAATTTTGCCTACTCTGAGATATTATTAATGTAATTACAATCTTCAAGTTCCATTGAAATTGGTTGGTA